TATGAGGGAGGATAAATTCAAAAAATTAAAAAGAGTGCATATATGACATAATATTTATTGTACATTTATTTATATATTTGTACATTAAGTACCTCAATAAATAATATTAATGTACAATAAATAATTATTATTATATACAAAAATAATACTACTTTCATAAGTGTTGTAAATACTAATAATGACATTACATGACCATAAGTTTTAAAATAAAATAATATTTGAGTATTATGATGAAAAAAAATAAATAGATATTTTTTTATGTATTAAAAAAATAAAGAAATGTGTTAGAATATTATTCATATTAATATAAATGGTTATGTGGGCCAATATATTATTAAAATAACATTTTCAAAAAATATTTTAAGGTATAAATCTTCCGTGCATCGCACGAGATGCTTACTAGTAGGGAGTTAAGAGGAAGATGATTTTAGGGGTGTGGAGTGCAGTGGAAAAAAAAAAATAACTTCAGGACTGAAAAAAAAAGTTAGAAAAGGGAGTAGGGATTTTAGAAGAAGTGTCCCAAATATCATAGTTATTAAACCCGACCCGAAAATTGACCCGAGCAGGTCTCCGGGTCATTGGGTTACCGGAATCGCCGAGTCATCGGGTCAATTTGCTGAACCATTTTTTAATTTTAAAATTTTTGAAATTATATATATAGTATTTTGACATACAAATATACATAAAAGTAACAATGATAAATATTTTGTATACAAAATTTGTACATTTAAGTGTTAATAATATTGAATCTCACAATAAATATTTACTATGTCATTATATAAACATAGTTTTTACTTTTTATATAAAAAAGAATTATAGAGACCGGTTAAACCGTGTTGACCCGGCCAGGTCAATGATTCGGGTTGACCGGGTCAAGGCCGGTTGACCAGGTTTTGACCGGGTTCAGCTCCGGGTCACAAAACAAGCCAAATATTAATGGGGAAAAAAAGAAGGTACACCGTTTATTATATAACTAGTACAGAGCCCGTGCGATGCACGGTGTGCACAATTTTAAGGTCATTTATCCATCCCGTGCGATGCACGGTGTGCATAATTTTAAGGTCATTTATCCATTCTTATAATTATATAAATGAATAAAAAAAAATGTACGGGATATATATAGTACGTGACCTGTAATAAGCCAAAATGTGAACACGGGTGATGCACGGGGTGCAAAATTTTAAGGTCATTTATTAGTACATACCCCGTGCGATGCACGTGATACATATAATAAATCAATTATTTCTATAGGACTTGTACGTCTAGAAAAAAAATAGGCTTGGATCATCCATATTTCACATCTTTTAATAAGTGTTTTATTTAAGCCAAAAAAGTAACATGTTCATTAATATATAATTCCGCTAACACGTCATACTAATATTTATTTGATTTTAGAATACATATTTATTCATTGATATAAGAAAAAATAAAAAAATTATTAATTATTGTTCACCATATAATACTCAATTATTATTTTATTATAAAATTTACAGTCATATAATGTAATTATTATTCTTATTTATATAAGTTATAGAAGTAGTCTTATTTATGTAATGAAATTCAAAATAAAATTTTGAGTATAAATGTTTACAAAATACACACACATGTTTTTTAAAATTCAATTTTCTCATAATAATTCTTTTTTTTTTTAAAAAAAAATGATTTAGCAATTACCAAAAAATAAATCCCTTACATAATCAAGAGATTTTTTCTAATTTTCATCCTAAGGCTTTATAGTTTATTTAACATACTATGCAATAGAAAAATATTTTACAATAACTTCATTTTTGAAATATAACAAAAAAAAGTGATAAAAACACTATCATAGTTGACAATAACACACAAATAAATAACATGTCGAAATTTTAAAGAATAACTATAATTTTATTATCTAACCATCAATAAAATCATTTAATGATGTGATTATCTTTTAAATAATAAATTATATTAATTTTTTTAAAAAATATTATTGTTATATAATTAAACAAAAGTTAAAAAATATTACTCGACAAATATTAATTATAATGGATATCAGTAAAATCATTGTATAAATATAGATACTTGAAAATTTTTATCCATTGGATATCTAATTAGTAATCCAACGGCTTGTTAAATACAGCAGATTAATAAAAAAAAAANNNAAAAAAAAAAAAAAAAAAAAAAAAAAAAGAACATTGTCACCACAGAGGCTGAGCCCCCGATCGTTTTCAAATGGGGTTTGAAGATTGCAATTCTATTTGTACCTTCCAACTCCAAAATCCATTGTGGGTTTTGCTTTTAGGAGAAAATGACGGCCGGCAGCCAAAGCCTGAAATCAAACTGCTGGGAGACGACTCAACTGCGGCCGAAGACGGGGAATTGGGCGAGAGTGTTGGAGGAAATCGTGAGGATAGAGAAAAGGGCGTTTCCCAAGCACGAGTCGCTCGCTAATTCGTTCCAAGAAGAAGTTAAGAAGAGCAACAGCGGCTTGATTTACTCACAGATCGGGGACGAGGTTGCCGGCTACGTCATGTATTCTTGGCCCTCATCACTCTGCGCTTCTATCACAAAGCTCGCAGGTAGGTTACAAACCCTTTTCACTTTATTTCAACTGCAAGAGCTTCATTTCACACCATGTGTAGAAATTAAGCACAGTTACATGTCCACAGTGCTAATTATCAGAGTTGTTGTCTATAGGAAATGGGAATCATATGTTGCGATTCAACTCTATACAAGGTTGTTCAAACTATTTTGTAATAGCCTTGGGTTCTGCTTTATAATAATGGCTGTATGACTATCATATGAGTCTTTTGTTTCCTGTATATTAGTGCTCCAGGGTTGTCATTAGTTGTTTCCTCAAAATCATGACGGCAGATGCTGCTGGGTAGAAGACAGTATCTATACCTTTGACACTTTGATCAACAAGAATTTTTATGGCCTTTTTCTTTTCTTTCTTTTGTAGTGGCTTAGGTTAGCAGTTTGGACGACTAAGCCAATAGTTTGATTGACTTTAGAGCGACTTGCACGAGGATACAACTTACTCGAACTGCACTATAAACTTGAAACCTAGAAATACCAAAATCACATGTGCAAGCAAGACGATATTCATTTTCTCACTTGCAAGAGCACACACAGTCAGAGAAGTACTCACTTTAAGTTGTTTTACATCGATTTGCGATGGATGAAAATTGCCTATAAAAGTTGCATCAACAACTGGGTAAGTTATAATCTATCATATAACGATGCTTAAGGTTATTTAAAAATACCCTTATGATGTTCGTATGTGGAACTTGATGTTAGTATGAGTAATGATATGATCAAATTAAAGTTGATGATTTAAGAAAGCCAGTTTTGGTGTTTTTTTTTTT